GAGAGAGAGAGAGAGAGAGAGAGAGAGAGAGAGAGAGAGAGAGAGAGAGAGAGAGAGAGAGAAACCTGGGAAATTAGCTCCCTAAGACTTCTTGCTTCCCAGGACGATTCTGCCTCTTTCTTGTTACGGTTGCATGCAGGCTGAACTTCCGAGAAAGTACTTAATGTTTTCTTGACCTTGTCTTTGCCCCATGTGTTCGTTGTAACAAAACAGCACGAGGAGATACTCACAATTTTCAATGAGACGGTATGCTATCCCAACTCTGTCTTCACATTCCTTACCTCCCTACCACAGCAGAAAACTTTTGGGCGCGTTTCTTTTTTTTGTTTGTTTGACTTTTGTCGTGAGGAAATGGGGTTAAACCCTGACACTACTGTACCGAAAAGGATTTCAATTTTCAACTATGTGATCTGTTTGTCAGCAGTTACATGTGTGTAGTTGCTGTGCACCAACTATTTCTTGCGACTATTCTATCCATGTGACTCCGTCAGGATTCAAACTCATGATTTGTCCATTAACAGTTGCATGTGTGTACTCTTCAGCCACACGGTTTGGGTTTGTGTGCGTCACTCAGCCACAAGGCAGGTGCTGTGGGTGATGATTCTTCCTTGAACGGGTTCTTTTCAAATTTCCACTCATCCAATTCAAGGCCACCCCAAGCTTGATCTCTTTTCCCCCACTTGTAAAGGGTTTGGGTAGATACTACTGTCTTCACCCGAATAGAACGCCCGGTAATTATCGTCGTATTTGGGCTGAAAGTTGTGCCAAATACAACTACAATGACCGGGCGTTCTATCCGGGTGAAGATGGTAGATAATAAGTAAAGTGAAAAGTTCATTGGCCCAAAGTGATTCCATGAAAGTATGTCCTTCGCCTACGAGGACAAAGAGGAAACTGGGGTGCAGAGATTCGACCAAGAGAGGAGGGGAGGGAGAATAAGGGAAAAAAAGAAAGCAAAGAAAAAGAACAAAATGGAAACAAAGAGAGGTCGCAAAGAGTCAAAGACTATAAATACAGTTTGCATCTGTGATCACGGGGGTTCCTGAGCACACAGAGGCGAGAAGGGGTGTGCACAGGCATTTGCCTACTACGAACACATGCATGTCTTCTATGAGAAGTAATGCCTCGCATACTGTGTTCAGTTATGGTCTGAAGACTCTGAACACTTAACAGTGAATCACTGAACACTCCCTTTTATTGGAATTCTCCAGTGATCTCTATGGAAACAATTATAAGTTTATGATAACAATGATATTGCTGGTGCTTTGAACTCTGTTGATTGTTTTAAACCACTACACAGATCCGAATCCTTCACTAAGGTTCTTGAATCTTGAGGAGTACTGATCAATACTCGCCTTTCCCCTGTTCTGTATGCAGATGAAGAAAATTTTAGCCTCTGAGAAAGCCAAACTTGACTCATCAGAGGAGACCATTGCTGATTTGCTTGCACAATTCCAGCAATGTGTTATTGTACACGTGGCACTTGTGCAGCTCACCAGGCAACATGACAAGGTGAGATAAAGTACAGTTGTAAACCTATATACCCCGAACACACTCACACATATAGACAAACCATAAATGGGGCACACCAGCGCAGTGCGCCATGCCGTGCGGTTCGCTAGACAGGGTGCAAGGATCCATGATGTGTGCACACTCGCGCACCCCGCAAGCATCAGCCACGTATGCACAGAGTGCAGTGCGGGGTGCCACTACCCTGGTGCGCCACACTTCGTCTTTTTGTCAGTGTGTGTGTGTGTGTGTGTGTGTGTGTGTGTGTGTGTGTGTGTGTGTGTGAGAGAGAGAGAGAGAGAGAGAGTCAAAGACATGCGACTAAAATAAATTCCAAGACTGACACAATTCAGAAACAACATGATGGAGGGAGAGCACCCAGGCATAGAGATCCCACAGCCCATCTAGACCCTAATGGACAGAAGGTGGGCCACAACAATGGATAAGCTCAAGGACTGGCGCAGGATGGAAACAAAGGTGCATTCTCATGATTCTGGAGGGGGATAGCCAAAGCTGACAGGTCCACAGACGGAACCTGACAGGAATACACGAGAAGGGCAAGCTGACAGTCAACCCTCCTGTAGCAGGAAGAAATCACCGCTGTTCAGGAATTCTTTGGCCAAATGGAAGGAAGCGTGTGTGCATAATCAATGTCCTTTCTTGACTTGCTGGGGGAATAGGAACCGGATTGATGCTCCCCAGGATGGATATGGAGCCAGGGCCATAAGGGCTGTTTTCGGTATTAATTGCCTGCAACAGAGGTAAAGCTGCATCAATTTTTGGATCTAGTCATCTGGGTGGAACAGGGGCTGTTGTGGTGAAAATCTACGACACACACATACACACCGTGGTGAGGATTATGAAGGCATAGCCCATGCAAGTGTTTGTTTTCATACGTATGATGACAGTCAACATCGCACTCGTGTACGGCACCCTGACATGTCATGTCCAATTTGTAGATGGGCTGGAACGGCAATGGCACGCAATGCCTATACAATTGCAGTCGCCATGACTCTGTGTTCCTAGCATGCATGAGACATGTTGCCTGTGACACCTGTCTACACCGTGCCATTCGCTGCAGCAACTACAAGTGCGAGAATTGGATGTGGTGCTTCTGTAGTCCACACATGAATCGGTCCTGTCTGGTCTGTAGGGATGGCCACTTACCATAGGCAACGGCAGCTTCTCAACTCAAAATCTCCTGCAACCCAAACACCGACTGGCCTCTTGTGCCATTCTAGAGTAATTTGCTGCAGCAGTGAGTACTGAAAACCCTCTGAACTTTATCTTTCCTTTGTTTTGTTGTTTGCCCCTCAACTTCCCTCCTCTACTCCACCCTCTACCTCTTTCTTTCCTCCCTCCTCTTGAGTACTGATGTCCATCATTAAGAGAACAGGCAAATATTAACTGAAGATCTAAAGAAAGATGAACAGAGTATACCCCCCCCTTTACTCTGCCTCCTTTGATAGCGTGCAAGTCGCCCGTTAAGGCACACGGGGTTGTGGGCAGCTGGTGCTCAACCACAATGGATCAAGTTACCAGTTTTCCCGGTGGATTTCCAGGCAACCTCACACGAAGCGGGCGAAGCCGAAGGCCCGACTTCAGTGAGTCCACGCAAGAACGACAAGACATTGGATTTCGTGCTCGACTGATTATGGTACTAGAAAAACGAATTTCTGTTTTTCGTCTTGGGACATGGGAGCCTCTATTCTAGCAAGTTTGACCGGAACCCTAATTTCAGTTTTCGACCCGTTACTCAGGAGCTGAAAGTGGGGGTCCCTGTTAACCACTTGTGTTCATGACCCAGAGACCAATTCCTCGAGTAAGTGCTTCAAATTCTTCTAACGTACCTTGTACATGAGAGGCACGGTAAAAAGGGAGCTGGAAGAACAAATAAAAGGTGTACCCCAAAGAAAGCCAAAGTGAAGATAGTTAAGAAAGGGCTATAATGGATCTATTGTGCTCCACGTTGCTTGCTATAGAGTTAAAAGTGTTTCATTGTTGGATTGACTCATCTCAAGCGTGCTTCATTGTCTGCAATAGAGGTAAAGCTGCTTTGATTTTGGATGTACTCATCCGGGTGGAACAGGGCCTCTTGTGGTGAAAATTTAAAACACAAGCACACAAAGTGAAATCACACTTAAAATTATTCAACTTGTCATGTATGCGAACAGCGAAACAGCAAATTGGCGACAGGCGCCCACTCAGTACTCAAGATATCGTATCCACATAAGAGTTCTCTTCAAACTGGCTATGGCGACTGAGCGCCCAAATCCCCACTCAGTACTCAAGATATCGTATCCACATAAGAGTTCTCTTCAAACTGGCTATGGCGACTGAGCGCCCACACAACTCACTGTTCGCACTCTGGATCACCCTGGATGTCCCACATGCAACACTCAGTATCACACTTCATACACACACATGCTAGGCTACAGCTATGGCAGCGCTAGCTGCCACTCCTCTGCCCACTTCGTCTTCGGGCACTCTGCAGACCTCCTCGCACAAGCTGCTAGGCAGCGCTTCCGCATGGCATCCGCAGGAATGAATGAATGAATGGACGCAGCCTCTTGATTTATACTTCTGTGCTGCATTGGTCTGCCTTGTGTCCCTGGCCCATGGTGCACACAGTTCCCCCCGTGGTACTTGCTGGACCGGACTGGTACCTTCTAGA